AGAGAGAGAGGGAAAGAGAGGGACAGATGTCACATTGAACACACCGTCGCGTCGCTACGAATCTTTCACACGCTCGCAATGGAGATCGCGAGAGACAATGTGCACAATGGAAAAATAACTAAACGACAACTTAAACCGATCCTTGTGCTAATTATACACTCATACGAGAAATTAAGAATTGTGAGTCACGCTTCTGCATCACACACACACACACACACACACACACACACACACACACAAATAATAACTATGTTTTCAACGTCACCTCTCAAGTAATCAGATTTATCAAGTAATTAGATTTAAAAACTGATAAATTATGTTTTATGTTTATTAAAATTTAAACTCGCGCTATCAATTAATACTTTCACATTAATAATCAGTATCGCACCTTTTTCTTGTTAAATCGAATCACATGTGCGTCACGAGCGTCAAAAACCGACTACACAGACGACACGCTAGGCTCCAAATGGATGGCATTTCTAGTTCCTTCGCATTCAACAAATTCGCCCCCTCTCCAAGCCGCACAGTTTTGACTTCGATGACAAATCTTTCGAGCAATATTATTACATAAGTCTAAATTTAATCGCAATCGTAATAATACACTATCTGATAACGTCAACTGAACATAGCGTTATCTGATAGATAACAATTCGGCTATGTGTACAACTGCATCCTTTGTAATATTCTTGGAACGTTCTTTACACCCGGCGTCGTGTTCGCGTTCAAAATTAGATATTATCGAGCCGATATGCAAACAATGAAAATAAAACTAAAAAACAAATTATACGCATAAAATTAGAGAGAGACATACAATCTCAAGTACACTAAAAGAAAAGTAATTTCAAATCCAGTAAACCATGGTGGTTGAACATAAAGATGGAACACGCTTGAAATGCGTAAATTCAGGTAGAAAGATGTGCTTGATTCCAGTTTTCACGGTCCAAAGAAACATCTGGACGGAATGTTTTGCGAGGAATAGAACCGAGAAAACCCGATTTGCTTTGTAGTCCCTCTTTGTCCCCGATTTCGTTGCATCCCACACCTGCTCGAATTGACAGAGGTATTCCACGTTCAGATATATTTTTAGTTTCCAATTTCCGGAGGATTTAAACTTGTGATTTCTAACGTGAGTTTCAATATTATTATAATATTAAAATTATGATAATAAAAAAAATTCAATATTATTAAAATTATGCATATAAAAAGTATCACTGATATTATTGACGTTAAGTCAATATAATGTATCATAATAAGATATTTCCGCTAATCTCATCTCGATGACATAACTTTTGCTAACGCAAACTCATCATTATTCAACGTGAAAATCATTACATACCTACGTCAATCGTTAATAATGATAATAGGTCTCATATTTTTCATAATGATTCATCGACTCGTCGAATATTCAATGCACCTTTTGATTTCAAATCTAGTATTCGTTTCCGTACTAATTTTTACCAATCTCGTCGGAGCAGTCTTTCGTAACGAACTATCTCAATGAAATAATAACGCTCAGCCACGTCCGGAATTCTCGTGTAGGTGCAAAATTATCGCTCCCGGAATTGCGCAAGAAGCTCGTTGCTCACTAACGATATATTAGGCTTAAAAGTTAAATCGCTCTGCCGCATGTGTATAACACTTCGAACGGAGCAAATAATCGAATAGCGGATCAGATTGATTAATCTTTAGATATGATGATATAATTTATCTTAGTGACATTGGGAATTTCATAAACGTGGCTAATAAGCTCGATAATGGAAGATAAAAATAATATTATTGTTAATTATTTGGACAATTAACTTGCTATTTATAAAAAGATAAAAAAACATACTTTTTAGGATAATTATACTTTCTATAATTATACTTTATCATAATTATACTTTACATTATTTTACTTTTACATTTTTTATTTGCTAAAAAAAATAATAATGTTACATATTTACTAAATTTACATAACACAATTTCTATATTTCCTGAATAAATAACAATTCATTTTATTTTTATATGGATACTATTTTAAACGGTTTAAAGTAAAATATTATCATCCCCAATTTTTCGTGATATATTTCCAGGAAATGTATTTTATTAAAGGCATACGTTGGAAGACAATCTCTGTCTTACTCAGTATCAAGCTTAACCTCGACAGAGATAATGGTAGTATATAAGGATTATAGCAACGTAAACGGATGTAGGTCGTACCTTGATGAGGATTTCTCTCGGCGTCATTCACGCATTATGATAATCCCGTGTTCTCCGTTCTTCAATTATTCATGAAGCTCGCTCTAACTTTCCTGTTTAGGCTTCTCTTCGCGGAAACAGAGCTTTCAATCCGTCCTCGAAGCTTACACGCGTTTCTGGATTTCTGACAACGAATATCCTCGTATGCAACTTACGCTCATCCTCGTCGTTCGAACTCACGTAACCCTTGGGTCACTATCGATCGATGCACTATCAACACAACTGTCTGAAGGTAGGCTTATGGCATGTGTTTGCATTTTGCATTTGCTCGATTTGACGTACGTATCTACGCGCCACACGTTTTTCGCAAGGAAAGGATGAAGAGATGAAAAAGAAACACGGTATTTCGTCCCCAAAGGAAAATTCCCCAAAGACATTAAAATATTATCTTATGAGATCCGCGACGGCATTACATTTTATGTAACACGGAGTTCCACGCCATTAATTCATACTAAACCAGCAATAATTCATATTAAATTTATAATCTATTGTGTTATAAATTAAACATTACGGCGAACAGGATTGCGAAATAGGACAACAAAATTTTAGCGCGAATAACAAAGAAAAGTGGAGATTAAATCGAAGAGAAAATCGAAGAGAGATTGCTCCGCTTCCGCTCAAGACTCTTTGTTTTCTTATATGATTTGTTTCTTATATGATTCATTTAACCTTCACGGGGAATTCCTTGGTTTTTCGGTGCATTGTCTGCGTTCATCGAATGTGGTAGGCTCCTAGGATTAAAATGCAGGACGGGCAACAAGTTATACGCTCTCTAAGTTAAGTTAATGTTTGCATGTGCAACGTAACGTTAACCAGAGTTAATATGCATACATAATTGATCGGCGTAAGTTAAACGATTTTGCATGCGATTATTAGCTCTCGCGAGCGAAGTTGAAATCCGGAGGATATAGTGCCGCTTATGTAAAGCACGTTTAAAGATATAACAAAACACATTACTGTATTTTTAACTTGGATATATATTCACGATTTTATGTCGCATTACGTAATTCATGACATCTGTGATTCGTTTATTTTATTTTTATGTTGAATCATTATTGTCTCCATCCATTTATAAGGCGCGCATTAATATTGAAATAATTTTTTTTTAATATTAATGCGAATAGAAAATATTGTTATTAAGCATTATCGTCACACTATTCGATTTTTCTTATTGAATACGTCACGACAGATTTGTCATCGCGACGAGCGCGTATCGCCTCATTCATCTTACATCACTCACATGCATTCAAGGACTCGCGCGTACGCATGCACCTGCGCACTATAATTCGCACCTGCGGATGCGAAAATTACTAAAAAGAAGGGAAAAAATTCGTTCCAGCGATATTCGCTTGAAAATATAAGAAGCACATGCTCAAAATAGAAAAAAAATAGTGAAAAATTATTAATATTTATCATTAGTCGTCTGATAAATTATCAAACGGACGCTGACAAATATTGAAGAATTGTCAATATTAGGAGTGACAGAGATAACTTTATAGATAACAACATATTCCGCGTGTTGTCGATAAATATTGACACAATGTAGGTCACATTTTCACATATGATGAAATGGTTGAACAAACTTTCTCGGGGCCGCGCATCTCACCGACGTAAACCGAGTAACAATAAATATTTAGAAATTAACACTCATTTATCAAGCACACATACATACCGACGATGAATAATCGGAAAAATAAACGTCGGTCATTTGTCGACTCTGAAAAGTGGACAATTGCCAGTTCGAAAAGCACCGAAACAACGACACGCGCGCATTCGCAAAAAGCAGCAGGCTCTTTTCATCGCCACGCAACGAGCGCGAAATCGTGAACCGTGTCACGATCTGCTGTAACGATCGTGACACACCTGTGGGCGTAAACTTAAAGCAAAAGGACAACGGGGAAGAAAGAGCGCGCGAGGATTAAGCGTGAAGACGACAACAATACCGACGAATGTCGTTCGAGGTCAAACTCTTTTTCCCATTCGACGGTATCAAGCGTCGTCTTATCGCCGTCACGAAATTAAACATGTACGACTGAGTCATCCGAGAAAAACTGGCCTATCTCGTTTAGATTGCAACGAGTATGGCGAGAGTCGGCAAACCGTTAGCATTCCAACGAGAAGACAAGGCGAGCGAGAGCTTGCAGAAATCGTGCCACCTGAGGCGGATCGGCTCGCCATTTCCCGCGCTCCAATGTTTTGACGAACGTCCACTCGCGATCGCGATGTGATCTACGGACTATTCCGATTATCACGCGATTATCTGTTGGATCCTTTTATCGTAGATCGACTCTCCTCGCGCTCAAATCGTCCTCGCCCTCCCTCGGATCGTGAACGTACCTCTCAAACCAGTCTTCTAGGTCGTCTGTATCCTCTAGCTAGAGAGAAAGCAACGTTTAACCGACGAGAACGACAACAACAATGACGACGGAACGCCGCGGCTCGAGCACGTGGCTCGATCTCGCAAAACGGAAATGTCCGCGCGAGAGTCGGACGGCGCGGAGAGATCGCGACGTCACTTCGCTTTTGTTACGTCGCGTGACTCGCGACGAGTCCGCTCGCACTCGGGCTCGGGCACAATACTAACAGTCGCCGACTCATGTGATTACCAGCGGGGTCTGGAGAACGGGCTCTCTTGTATGTCCGCCGGTTAACGATACTCCTCCGTGCAGTCCATGCTCCGTTCGCCGTCCTCCTCTTTCACGTCCTCTCACGCGGACGCTCCTCTCGCTCTCCTCCCACCTCTCCCGCATGCCTCTGTCCTCCCCCCCCCTCCTTCCGCTCCCCTGTCTCTCCGTCTCCTTCTCTCACTTTATCTCTTCCTCTCTCTCCCTATCTGAATCACTCTCCTTGTCTGTCGGTCACGCACGCACTCCGTCCCTCTCTCGGGGTTTCCAGCTCGACTACTGACCTTTCTGTCTTTTCCTCTCTACTTCTCTCTCGCTTCGCTCTTTAACCGTAGACTCTTCCCCCGCGTCGTCCTCTCCTGGATCTCACGGTATCTCCCCCCGATCGAGGTCCACGAATTATCCGCGACCCGCCCGGAGCCGGCTCCATCAAGGTCCTCTCGCGTTGAACGCTAATGAGTACGTACGCTAATCGTAGCGATAACTTTGTTAGTCAACTTGTCGGTGGCAATTTCGGACATCGCGCGATACCTTATCAATCTCATCCGCGCGACGTAAACGTCTTACGCTAGCAGTTGCGCGCAGTTTAGTTAATAGTTTGCGCTATAATTTTACGTCATTGCTATGAAATTAATGTGGCGAAACAATTTTCGCGAGAATCGCTCTCCCCGTCTCTACGCTCCCCTTTCTCTCTTTCTCCCTTTGACAAGTGTCTTGATAAGATACGCGCCACTTTCGCACGGTACAAATACCATCTCCGCTGAATTACACTTTGCAATGATTTAAAGTGGTTTGATAAGATCTCGTGCAACGGCACGAAGCAACTCGTCATTCCTTTTTGAGATTTCCTTTATGAGATTTTAATGACAGACCCTCCTCCCCCCCTTTGAGGAAACTTGAGACGACTCTTCCTCGGCAAAAATTACAAAGAACTTGTTAATTATGAAGCTATTTACCTCTCGAGAAATCAAAAGTTTCCTACTCTCTGGAAATGTAAATAGATAACAGAGGTTTATCTTTTGGTTGATTTTAAGTGGGTTTCATTCGAACGGAAATTCTGGGAGACTTAACGCGGCGGAAGTATCCGATGTTAAACATTTTAAAATTGCAACGAGCATTCGATGCATCATTTGATTCCCGTTGAGGAAAAATCAATTTCCGTGAGCTAGCCTCGTGGAACTTGTCATTAAAATTTTATAGCATACCCCGGCATGGACGGAACGTTATAACATTACACATTAAACATGTCGAACGTGTCAACCGGGCTTTTTGATTTGCATGCGTGCTAACTGCGCGCGGTCCATGTAGGACACGTAAGCATACATAATTGAAACAACAAAAGCCGTAATAAAAAAACATGGATAAGCACGGCTTTATTATTATTTTTTTTCCCCTATTTAATACGCGTTTTATTGTCGGATATTGTGTTGCAATCATGCCGTCTAGATTGTATGAATATACCGACGTTATTCAGCGCTGTCGCGGCCTGAAATTGAGACAACGCGCGCTTCCCTTTCGTCTAATATCAGTTAAACGAGACTGTCGAGTGCGTTTCAGCAAAGCGCTCCAGCGAGCAGCTCTTTGCACACGCTAATAAAACATAACGGGATTTGACCGCCCTGTACTCGAACTCGCTGTAAGAAACAGACCGCGCTGTATCATCGCGCGTCGGATACGCCAACCAAAGCCTTTGAACACAGACACGCGAAATTGTTCGACGTTAAAAAAAAAAAAAAAAAAAAAGAAGGAAAAAAGGGACCAGGTGCCCCAGGTGAATATTTCAGGGACGCTCTATGGAAGGGCGACGTAATTAGGCCACGTTGAATATCTCGCGAGATAAATCTATTGAAAATCTAATTGTCCTTTCCAAAAAGTGCCGCCGCTTCTACCCTCGGCGGAGAAATTCCTCCAAATATCTCAAGAAAAAAAAAAAAAAGAAAAATTGTGATGTCATGTTATTCGCAAAATGAAATTTCCCGACATGCCGGAGGCACGCTCGATCGATAGTGGGATGCCGAGAGAAAGAGACAAGCGCGTGCTTGTACGCGCGACGATAATCAGCCCTCCATAATTTTTATCGGCCTTGCACCCTCTCTCCCGTCGGGGCTGATTACCTTACTGGCCGACACTTTTCCGTTTCGCGTCCGTTCCCGTTAGACAATACGCGCGTCTACCGGTGGCGGCCAGTTGAAAAATAGCGGTCGTTGCACCGTGAATTTTTTATACGACGCGGACGAGCCGGCACGCGACATGTCGGGGGCGATGCGTTACGGATAACATGTAATATTCGTATAACATGTACTACCGAACGCTAAATAATAGCTGCTCCTCCCCGCCGGAGGAGCCTCGAGCTTCGATTCCGAAAGCTTTGCGTTTACGTCGCGAGAGAAACGCTCCCCTATCGGAATGTAATTTGTATTAGTAATGACACCGGTTAATTGCGACATCATGATAGACGGCAGGGAGCGCAATTACGCTCGCGACAGAATCCGCTCACTCGTGCTCGCGTATTCGCGATCGCGAGTATATACGGTCAGCTATGTCCAACTAATAATGACATTACCTCCTGTCATCGGACCGCGTCATTTATCGCCGGTTCTCTGCAATCGCGTTGCAATTATGAGGAATATTCGCTTTGTAAAATGGCCTGCTGACCAATTTGCATCTACGAAGAAAAAAAAAAAAAACCGACTAAATGACATGTACCATGACAAAGGCTTTGTGTCGTAAACTATTTTCTCCTTTTTCTCTATTTTTCTATGGATTTATATTTGATTATCTAAATTAATAATGTTTTTATTCGCGTCTCCGTATACATTTGAAACGCGTATTAGCGCGTATTTATTAAAAGCTTAATAAATTATTTTTATTTTTATTCCGAGACTTGTTTTATAGTGGAAACG